TTTATTATATGATAACATCTAACATACAAAATATGTGTTGACTTTATGTTATCAGTAAGACTTTCAGTCTACAATAGGCTATTAGTAATTAAGTTTTTGGGGATTCAAAAGTTACTATGAAAGGAGACATATGTAATACCCTTTGTAATACTTGAACTTCTAGGGACTGGTTACACAGCTAAATCTTTATTTATATCTATCATTACTTTATAAGTGTACATTTTTACAAGTAGAATTAATAGCTGTCTCTTAAACATAGAGAGTCAGAACCATTTGTTCTTTTGTTTTTTGTTTTTTTAAAAATATATTTTATGTTACTATGAATATTCAACTTTTCAGGGAGTTGGTTTCCCCAACCCTCACTTTGTTCAAGGGTCAACTGTAAATGCCATATATAGAGGGGCAGAGAGTGAGGAACACCAATGAGAGAGAAACATCGATCAGCTGCCTCCTGCACATTCCCCACTGGGTATGTGCCCACAACCACGGTACGTGCCCTTGACCGGAATTGAACCTGGGACCCTTGAGTCCGCAGGCTGATGCTCTCTCCACTAAGCCAAACCGGTTAAGGCGAGTCAGAACCATTTGTTTTTAATAACTAAGCATCCAATGGCCATAGTATGTGGAAGTCTGGTTAAAGGACTTTATTGACACAAGGAGCAGCAGGGAGGGACCTGCTGAGTCAAGTATGGCTGGAGTTTGAGAACGAGCTGCAAAACCCCACAATCTGAAGATAATCTCAAGTTTCACCTGATGTGAAAGGACATGTAGTATAGATAAAGCGATAATGATGCTGGAACTTTAACATCAGAAATTTTTCTAATTTTAAAATAAGTATACCAGTATGTATTTCTTTATGGTTTTTGTGTGATTTATGATATTAGCATGCATGCTTGTATTTTATTTCTGATTTTCTTTTACAGAAATCACAAATGATACAAATTTCCATGGTTTCTCAGTTTTTCACATCTAGGGATGGTCTGACAATTGGCTCAGGGCCCCACATGAGAAATCCATTCAAGTTCCTTAAAGAGAGGCTTAGGCTGACACAGGCACATGGGAACTGAATCTTATGCTTTCCAGGAAATGAATGCCTCACATGTCTCAGAAAGGCGGATCATATATAATGTTTTAAGTTGCATTTTCCAGCCAGAGGCTGTATTTATCTAAACAAAGGTTCTCTCCTGGTGTCGACCCTTTTTAGACCTTGCTTGAAGATGCAGAGCGGTGCAGACGTAAGATGCAGACCGCCTCTGCACTGATCGGTGGCTTGGCAGGAGAAAAAGAAAGATGGACAGAGCAAAGTAAAGAGTTTGCTGCACAAACTAAAAGACTTGTAGGTATGTAGATTCCTGTATTACCGAGGTTATGTGTTGACTGTGATAGGGAGTTACCAAATTTAAGCTTTAATCAAAATACAAACTCTATTATTTTAAAGTTCTACGGAGTGCAAAAATAAGCTTTAATCAAAATACAAACTCTATTATTTTAAAGTTCTACGTGTGTGTGTGTGTGTGTGTGTGTGTGTGTGTGTGTGAGAGAGAGAGAGAGAGAGAGAGAGAGAGAGAGAGAGAGAGAGAGAGAAAGAGAAGAGAGAGTGAATCTGCAGTGTTTCAGAAGAATGAATATTGGCCTTACATCTATGCAGTCCATATTAGATGTGTTAATGACCTTTAAACCTCTTATTATCAGGACTCTTAAATTCTATGAATGAAAGATGATATTGATCAAGATCACTTAGAATAGAGGCTCTGTCTTCTGAGCTTTGTATCTTAAACTCAGACATCATCCTCCCAAATCCAACAAGAGTAAAAATTCTCCAGTGCTTGATTATAGCAGCCAATCCTTGGTGGACCATTTGGACCCTGTTTAACAGTAAACCAAACTACTGCTTATTCATCAAGACACAGCAACATGTGGTTACAGTTTGGTTTCTGGAATTTAGTGTAAAAGAATGGTGTTTTTATTTTTTTATTTTTAATATTCTACACAAGTACAAGTCTGATCATAAAGTATTTCAGAGGTGTTTGTTTTCCATTTTAGGAGATGTATTGTTGGCCACGGCTTTTCTGTCTTATTCTGGTCCATTTAACCAAGAATTTCGCAATCTGATGTTAAATGACTGGCAGAAGGAAATGAAAGCCCGAGAGATTCCATTTGCTGACAATCTGAATCTCAACGAGATGTTGATTGATGCTCCTACAATTAGTGAATGGAACCTCCAAGGCCTACCAAATGACGATTTATCCATTCAGAACGGAATTATTGTCACAAAGGCATCTCGCTATCCTTTGTTAATTGATCCGCAGACTCAAGGCAAGATCTGGATTAAAAATAAAGAAAGCCAAAATGAACTCCAGGTAATTTGTGTTTGGGTATATTTATGTTACTAGTTTTATTGCCCCAGAACAACAAGTATCCAAGGATAATAAAATATTTGTTACTTAGAATTAATTGTATATCTATATCTATCATCTCTCTATCTATCTATCTATCGCCATATAGTATTATATTAGTTTTAGGTATTCAGCATAATGATCCAACATTTATGTACCTTACAAAGTGATATAGAATATTAGATATTAGTATTTAGATATTGATATTTAGAAATAATTTCTAAAAATTGCATTATTTGCCTTTGTATTAATTGCTACTTAATGCCACCTTCCAAAGGTCTCAGACTCTCTTCTGCTAGTGTCTAAGGCTCTCTTTGATAAGCAGAGCAGGCTGGAGTTGTGTCACACCAAATGACAGCACTTTATAAGGGCCCTTTATAATTATTCTATGACTAGAGGCCTGGTGCACAAAAATTCATGCACTCGGGTTGGGGTGGGCCCCTCAACCCGGCCTGCACCCTCTCGCAGTCTGGACCCCTTGGGGGATGTCCACCTGCTGGCTTAGGCCAGTTCCCTGGGGGATCGGGCCTAAGCTGGCAGTCAGACATTCCTCTGGCAGCCTGGGAGCCCTATGGGGATATCTGCCTCAGGGAGCAGCCTAAGCCACAGCCGGACATCCTTAGTGCTGATGAAGAGGCAGAAGAGGCTCCCGTCACCGCTGCTGCCATTGCAGCCATCAGCCTGGCTTGTGGGTGAGTGGAGCTCCCCCTGTGAGAGTGCACTGACCATCAGAGAGCAGCTCCTGTGTTGAGCATATGCCCCCTGGTGGTCAGTGCACATCATAGCAACCAATCGTTCCTGGTTGTTTTGCCCTTAGGGTCAATTTGTATATTACCCTTTTATTATATAGGATTATTTATCACAAAAGTGATGGTGAGGGAAAGTCAGTGTTGCCACCCAGAGATGTTTCGTGCTTCCCAGTAAAGAGGAGTGATGGTCTGCTGAGCAAAAGAATGGACAGGGTTTAAGCTTTCTGTATCCCTTCACACCAACTGTGGTTTCAAGTAAGGATCCCTGACTTCCCTGTACCTGCCTCCGGTGACAGAATGCTTAGGCTCAGCTTCCTGTGAGTTACCTCTGTGCATGACATTGTGCTATCTCTGTCAAGAACAACATCTTGATCTGGTTTCTAGATCACATCTCTAAATCACAAGTACTTCAGGAACCACCTGGAGGACAGTCTTTCTCTTGGAAGGCCCTTGCTGATCGAAGATGTTGGGGAGGAACTAGATCCAGCCCTGGAAAATGTGTTGGAGAGAAACTTCATTAAGACTGGATCTACCTTTAAGGTAGGTTAAGCCTTTTGATAAACTGTGCAGAACAATTACCATGAGGCCAGGTAAATGTGACACAGATGAAATTTTCTCAATAGGCAGTAACTCAAATTCGAGTCTGGGGCAAGAGGCATTTGCTTTGTTTTCCCACACTTCCTGAGTTGGGATTAAAGTATTCAGGCGTAGGATTTTAGGATTATCTACTTGATGTGTGTAAAAATGTCTGACTCCATTTTGATGTTTGACTGTGGTCAGTTTTCAAGCCCCATTATGCCTCTTTCC